ATATGACGTCACGCTGGTCGCTTCTTGCCACCTGATGACGACATTCAAACCACGGTATCTGATGACGACATTCAGGCCACACCACCTGGGGTCCGTCAAGGTAAGCCACACGTATTTTTATTTAACCACCTGGGATCCGTCAAGGTCAGCCACGCGTATTTTTTTTTCACCACCTGGGATCCGTCAAGGTCAGCCACGCGTATTTTTATTTCTCCACCTGGGGTCCGTCAAGATCAGCCACACGTATTTTTATTTCACCACCTGGGGTCCGTCAAGGTCAGCCACACGTATTTTTATTTCACCACCTGGGGTCCGTCAAGGTCAGCCACACGTATTTTTATTTCACCACCTGGGCACAAACAAAACAGTGGACAAACAAAGATGAGCCAACCAATCAGGAGAGACTGATACATCTAATGAATCAAGGAGCCTTATATAAGACCACTCATTAAAATATCCCATCCAGACAATCTCTACTGCCACAGAGACTCGTGTCCAGAAGTCGTCCTTATCTGTAAAAGAAAGAAAACACTTTGCATTAAATTATTAGACATCAGGTATGTAGATTTCTGTGATTTACTTAAGCTTTACACCTTTTATAAAACCTCGGTTATTATTAGATATCAGGTATGTAAAGATGGATATAAATTGTGTGTAATGTAGGGCCTACTTAATTATTAAGTTTTTATTGATTTTACGCGCTTGATTTATATTATAACAGCTTGTCATATTTTTTAGTTGTGGTGTAAGTATGTTATCAATTTACAGACAAGTCTGTAAAGATAGATACAACATTGTATTTTATTAAAACTAATACAACTAACATAAAATTCAACATTTTGGTTGTGTTTGAATTGATTTCAACCTTTGCTCTGCAGGTCCCAAAAATGAACAGAAACTTTACCCACCACCTTCTGTTAACGTACAAAAATATCGAGAGGGTCTCTGATTTCTCAATCGGCATTCCACTACCTGACTCTAAGAAAAGTCATAGTGAGCTCAATGAAGAACGGTAAGATATGTTTTTAATAGATAGGACTTTAAGTTGTGTTATTTAGTGTATTAATTGTTTATCAACGATGCAGATATTTTGTAAAATACATTTTATTATGCATGTACGTTGTAATAGATAGTTCAATGCACCAAACAATTTATATTGATTATCAGTTACTTGAGCGTATAGTATATTTTACGCATATAAAAGACAACGTCGCATTTATTAACTTCTGATAAATTAAAGATAACCAGCACTATTTTGTTTACTAAACCGTCTACTATTCACATTTTATTTATAGAAGACACCAAATGTATCTACATAGCACCAAAATGTATTAAATAAAAATAAATCCTTAATTTAAACAATTTGTGCAATAAAAAAAAACCAAAGGACTGATAAATATGTTTATAGAAATGAACAACTTTTTACTTCATTTAATTTATAAAGCTAAAATATATTAATCAAAATTAACGGTTGGCCTATTTTTTCACAGCAAAATTGTCCAGGGCCAAGCCCAGAGAGGAAAAATACGAAAACTATCATCGTGTAACGATTACACGGTGAACATTCGAGAAGAAAACATGTACCACACTCTGGTCATGGCTCTAGTAGAGGGGGAGCTTGAATTGGTCAAGCAGTTGTTGGACGCTGGGGTCGACCCCACTGGACCAAGTGACCAATACTTTGAAACTGATCTGTCTGGCCCTGACCTTAGGTCCTGATGTTGTAAGAATGGTCATCAACTATGGGGCACTCAAAGGCTGCAATAGGTAGGTCAACATAGCTTCACATTTGTGATTAACTATTAACTTTGGAACTAAAATGTTATTGTTTTGTACAATTTTAAAACAATATGTTTGTTTAACTCCTATATTTCTAATATGCTCAGATATTTGAAAACATGGTACTAAACTTTTTCTATAATTATTTTCCACGTTTACTTATTTGGAAAAATGTTACTAAAGAATTTTAAAATTATTTTTCACGTTCAGTTTTTTTGAAAACTTGTTACTAAGATATTTCTAAAATTATTTTGTAGGGTCAGTTATTTGAGAATCTTCATGACGCTATTTTTCTTACAAAAGCCACAAGATCTCTTGGACGCCATCTTTGAATCAGATCTGGAAAATGCCACCCGAGGATTAGACGACTACATGTCGTGGACCTTTCCCCTAGAATCCATGAAAGCTGCTTTAGAAAACTACGCGTTTATGGAGAAGGTAAACCACATCAAGCGGCTCATCTCACGGCCCAAAAGTTTATTTTCATTGTCCAAGCAGGCCGTTGTCCAGTGTCTTGGGCCTATGCCGGCTAGACGAGAGAAAGTACAGCAACTGGCCGTCCCAAAACTCGTCCAACAAGACCTCTGTGATGTGGATCAGCTCGATCTGACCATCCGACCACACGAAAATCTCAAGTCTGTAAATTTAGTAGAACGGTGTACTGATTACAACCCAGATGCAATGCTTGAGTTTGAGACTCAATTTAATATTTTGTGATTTAATATATGCCAGCTATATGTATACCATGATTTTAATTATTTAAACATATATTTAGTTTCTTTTGTATGCTCTAATATAATACCATGTGTATTACTTTTTTTCAAAAGGCAAATATTATCGAATGTAAAATAGTGTAAAAAAAATAATGCTTTTAAATTACCATATAGTATTTTATTTTTTTTAAATTATGCTTCCATCATTATGCTGTTATCTTTATCTGTAATTCTTAACTTTTTTTTTCTAAATAATGTAAATAATTTTGCATATTTAATTGGAAAATTCAATAAATACATATTCTTGTTTTTCTAATAAAGGTGTGTATGTCTATTTTTATGTTAGCTATTTTCTAGTATTAAAAATTAAAACAAATTTGTGATATAAATGACCTTCATTGAATTCATTCACAGAGTTCATTCAGGCTGATTGATCTTGCTATTGCAACGATTAAAATATCTCTCAATAGGCCTATATATGTACACGAGATAGTAACTTCCATATTCCTTAACATTTCCTGACTTTTTAGCTACAGAAAAACACAATGCTGCAAATCTAAACTTAAAGTTAATAAACTTTAATGATTATACGAATCAGATACATTTAATCTTCCTTTTAGCTACAGATATAAAGTTAAGTCTATAGGGCAAGTGAAGTAGAGTTTACTTGTTTCTGTGACCTCGGCATATGAAGAGATAGTGTGGTCAGCACTATGCCCAGCCGCCTTTACTTTTCCTAACGTGAGTTAGGTACCCATCAGAGTTGGGTGGACTCTGGGACGGTCTACTGACTTGAACCCGGATTCGAACACGAGACTTACGGGTCAACAGATGAAATAAGAGAGTTGTCATCAAAATATGTCTACATTTAATCTAAAGGAAACTACCGTGGCTAAGACTGCAAGGATAAAAATAGATTAAATTATTTAAATATCTTTAGTTAGACATGTTTTAAAATACTCGTAACAGACGTGGACGAAATAGTGTAAAATGTGGGAACGTCCTAAGCATGTAACAAACGTTTGGTCAGATTTATGTCCCCTGATAAAAAAGGGCAAATACTAGAGCGTTGGAGTGAGGCATTTTATTGGTTGTTCTGTTTGTAGTCATAAAGCTAATGTGAGGAAATTTTTGTATGAGAATAAATTTACATAAATTCAAAAACACAGTTTTAATGTTGATATTGTTCGAAAACAATTTACAGTTTTAATGTTAATCTTATTCATGAACAATTTATGGTTTTAATGTTAATCTTATTCAAGAACAATTTGTGTTTTAATATTAATCTTATTCAAAAACAATTTACGGTTTTAATATTAATCTTATTCAAAAACACAGTTTACAATTCTAATGTTATCTTTGTCACGAGCAAACCTGTTTGAAGACAACAGGAACTATAATATTTAAAAAATCAACACTAGGCATACAAATTAAACATGCGGCAAGCCTAAAACTGGGAACACGTAGCGAGCCTTCAACTGGGAATATGTAGCGTGCCTTTAACTGGAAACATGTAGCGAGCCTATAACTGGGAACATGTAGCGAGCCTTTAACTGGGTACATGTAGCGAGCCTATAACTGGGAACATGTAGCGAGCCTTCAACTGGGAACATGTAGCGAGCCTTCAACTGGGAACATGTAGTGAGCCTTTAACTGGGAACATGTAGCGAGCCTTCAACTGGGAACATGTAGCGAGCCTTCAACTGGGAACATGTAGCGAGCCTTTAACTGGGTACATGTAGCGAGCCTTTAACTGGGAACATGTAGCGAGCCTTTAACTGGGAACATGTAGCGAGCCTTTAACTGGGTACATGTAGCGAGCCTTTAACTGGGAACATGTAGCGAGCCTATAACTGGGTACATGTAGCGAGCCACAAAATAGAAAGATCTAGCAAGAGAAAAACTAGGAACATATACAGTAAGGAAAACAAATGTATTTTACGTTGAAAAACTTCTATTTATTTATTAATATGCAGTCATCATAGAAACAAAGATTACAAAAGTTGAAGATTGAAACACTAGGTACAACACAACAAATGCTGCACTCAGCTAAACTGTTTGCGCGTAGATTATAGTTGGTTGTGGTTAGTGATAATAATATTTAATCAACCTAGCTGTAAAGGTACTTAAGTTATCGTGTTCACAGACATACACATATACATGCACACATATACACACAAACTTATACGGACAAAATTGCAAAACTATGTTTTTCCGACTCAGGGAGGTGTAAAACGTTGAGATTTATGAAAATCTCGATTTCGATTTTTTTCACGATTACAATACTTCCTCTATACTTCGTATACGAGAGAGTAAAAAGTAACAAAATATTTTGGAACTCCAAGAAGTTTAATAATCATGCACTAAAATAATTAACTACATTGTACTGGAATTATGTACTAAATTTAAAACGATTACAAATGATCATGGTAAATAACTTTAAGTGTGTATTATGTATTATTTATATATTTATACAAAAGTTATGACTCCACATACTAAAATACACTAACATAAAAATATTAAAATGACTCCTACTTAAGCAAGATACCTTGACTGCACAATTTGAATTAAAAATTAACATACGTAGGGTCATGTTTGTATTAATAAAACATCTATTATTACATTTACTCAAAACAGCTACCTTAATTGTCATTGGTCTTTATATGAATAATACAATTTATCATTGTTTTTGTACATTCACAAAAACAAATATGTATGATTGTTTAAAATGTAAAGCAGTTTTTTTACACAATTGTATACATTAAAAAGATCTAGTATTTAATAAAGTAATATTTTATTGTCAGCATCTTTAAATTGCTTCCAGTGATTTGTATAATTAAATCATCTTTAATTTATCTGTACTTATGACCTAAAAACTTCAAAGTCAATCATTTCCTTTAGTGCTTTTGCGTTTCTTTCATTGAGGCCATGTGGCTCCAATGTGTTGTATTCTTCAATGTAATGTTGCTCTTTATCGTGTAACTCTTTCAATTGAACATACTCAAGTACATGAAAGCTAAAATGAGGTTTTTTGCACTCTCCCCTGAAATGTCTATATAAAATGTTGTTTAACTTAGATGCAGAGATATTATAAACATGCATAGACATCCTTTGATAGATATCAATAGTACTCCCGACGTACTCTATCTCACATCTTTTGCATGTTATTTTGTAAACACACGGAGCTTCTTTAAGTGCTGGGCCGGTACCATCCCAATAGCTCTCAGCAACATTTTGTTGATATTTCGAGTGTGCCTCTCGTTCAAGTTCTTTTGTTAAGGTATTATCCAGCTGAAAACAAAAACAACCTCTCATAATTTCAAAATTATAATATATACGCATACATGTTTACACACAAATATAGCATAACTGTATATATTTATATATTTATTATTCACATGTAACAAATTAATTAGTTGAAGAGTTGCATTCCTTAATTTACATGTTTACACACAAATATAGCATAACTGTATATATTTATATATTTATTATTCACATGTAACAAATTAATTAGTTGAAGAGTTGCATTCCTTAATTTAAAAGGCTCATGTTTTTGCAGTTACATATTTAATTTTTAAAAATTTTTTAGATTGTTTTGGACACATATTGTATATAAAGAAAACTTTCAAAGCTATTTATTTAACAAATTAAGCTTGCACTGAGCTGGTTATAATAAAAAAGAATAATGACAGTTTCACAAATAAACAAATAATAATGATAAAATCTGATGATAATCACAAAGTTTATCTTTAAATCTATATTGTTACTAAAAGCACTCCAGGATATAATTTTTCCATTATATAAAATAATAGGGCGGAGAGAAGAAGAAAGATTTGAGAAAGTTAGAAGGTAGGAGAAAAAGAAAGATAAAAAGCTCTGCTTGAAACTCTGAGAGCGAGGTGATGTTTGCAAAATATCATAGGCGACATTGATTTTTGCGTTTAATTCATATTGAACATTTCTAAATTATAATAAGGATTCACCGTACCTTTAAACAAGACAATTTAAAATAAACTGTGAGTGAACTCCCCTAAACTTTCTCGAATATTCTTATATAAAACAACAGGGGATGGGAACTCGGATATAGACATGATTTTAATCCATTTTAAATACTTAAACTTTTTAAAATAGAATAGAATCTCATAGAAAAAAGAATTGCGCACCAAGCAAACGCCAAATAAAGATGTTCATAATAGTGCGCAATATTATTAGTACTTTATAAATTTACATGCGTTTTTTGAGAAATCGGAAGTAGCGTAAATTACTACTTCCGTTCAACGGAAATTAATCAAAATTTGATAGAAGGTAGGGAATTAGATCTTTTACTTACATGTGAAATTTGATTTATCTATCTGAAATAGTACTCAAGTTATAGGCTTTTGAAAAATTCAAAGTCGAAAAAGTACCACTTCAGGTTATCGGAAATCGATTAAAAGGTGATAGGGATCTACGATTTTAATAAAATACTTATATATGAAATTTCATCAACCTAGCTGTAACGGTACTCAAGTTATCGTGTTTACACACACACACACACAGACAGACATACACAGACACACAGACATACGGACAAGATTGCAAAATTATGTTTTTCCGTATCAGTGAGGTGTAAAACGTCGAGATTTGCAAAAATCTCGGTTTTTTTTTTGCACGATTACAAGACTTTCTCTATACTTCGTATGTTCGAGAAAGTAAAAAAAAAAAAGATTAATGTTCAAAACTTATTTTGTGACAAATCTCATTTATTCAAATCAATGCTTGGTAAATAACTCATTGGTCTACAATCAATATGATGGATAAAATAATCTGAAAATGAAATAAAGAATTATTGTGAAAATTGGGTTTAAAAAATGTACTTACCGATGTCTGATTTTTATCTTTAGCTTTTTCCAAATAGTTTTTGTCATCTAAAGAAAAAAAAAATGATGTGTTGTAGTAAAAATGTCGACTGCACTATATGTAAATGTATCATAACAAATAAAGATATTTTGCTAAAGTGTGTAAACCAGATCTCATACTATAAAAACTTTAAGGGTAACATGAAGATAAAGATGATAAAAGAGGTGAATGGTACTAAAACAAAAATATAGCAATCTGATCCATACAATGCATTGGGCCGTTAACAGGACCTCTGTCCAAGTGTGAATTATAGACTAACAAATTATTTTTGTTATTCTTGCTTATTTATTATTATTCTCGATTAAAATTAAGTAGGATGAGTAAAACAAAACAATTCCAACTAAAATCTAGATCAAAGGCTATCAGCATCTTGCCGGTCGTGATCCCCTTTTCATTTTAGAAAACAAAAAACCACAAATTGAGAAGCGACCCCATATGATTAAAATGAAACTCGTAGAAGTAAACAAAAATCAGAAAATGTTTTAGTTTGATTTTACTCAAATTTATGTTAAATGGTCAACATAATACGATGTCATTTACCAGTTTCAAATTTCGTGTGTGAATTTTTGTTAAAGCCATTCTCAACATAATGTTGTATTTCGATTCTTTTAAATGAGTGAAACATAGCTGCTAGAGATACTTTGACATGCCCAGTGCAGTGAACACAATTTTCGAAAGGCAACCTTCGGCACAGTTGGGAATAACAGATACATACCCAAACTTAGTTGTGAGATCATTGTTTCATCATACAAGCCACGTTGCGAGGAATTGACCTGCAAATCCAATAATTCATCTGGCAAGCTATGGGGTTTGCTGGCTACATAAAGGGAAGAAAATAATTATCATATTATGAAAAAAAATAGATGAACAGGCTAGACTATATATATATATATATATATATATATATATATATATATATATATATATATATATATATATATATATATATATATATATATATATATATATATATATATATATATATATATATATATATATATATATATAAGCTGGAGAGAATTGATGTTGAGCTTAAAATTATTTGGATCTCATTGACTAATATCGTGAAGGTAATTTTCGTAATTTTCGTATCTACAACAACGATTATGGCCAGCAATCTTTTTGTAAACATTGATATTTAAGTAAGTTGCAGAATGTTTAAGATTGTAATAAATTTAAATTCAAATAATGCTTTAACTTTCTTTAATTAAACTGTACCAAGAAAGTGATTGAGTTTAGCATTGTCATACAGTTTGTGCTCTTCGATTTTTAACAAGTTTAATTGGACCAAATTTGAATGTGGTATGTAAATATAGCCTATTCTATACTTTTTACATTTTGTGAAGCAGAATTATTATAATTAATAATAATGCATCCCTTACCCCTGAAACTGTGGACAAGAAAATTAATGTTAAAATGATTAAGTGAATAACATATTTCATAATCCTAAAATAAATAAATCTATTGAAATTGGACTGATAAAACGAAGTCTTGCTAGAACTATGCTATTTTATTTACATCTGAAGAAAAATAAAACTAATGAGGTTAGAACATTTTTTTCAATAATTAATAAATCCTTACCTGACCTAATCTGCTCCATTGTTTCGGCCTCATCAACAAATAATGCTATGGAAAGAAAAGTGAAAATATAATAATAGACTAACTTTTTAAAATAAAATGTTTTTAATGGCGAATTTGATATATTCTACTTTACAATATGCATACTACTGTAACACCCGTTGTGTTAAAAACATATACGTGGTTTTATAAAATCTACATATTTAATAAAATATATTCTCAATGTTTTCTCTTAAACAGTCAACCATTAATTTTTATTCTGTATCTAGAATTATGAATGTGAGATACATTTACAAAAGTTAACGTATAATCTTCATAATTTAAAAAAACATATTCTCAATGCTTTCTCTTAAACTTTCAAGCATCAGTGTTTTTCTCCAGACTTTTATCTCCGGGGGGGGGGGGGGGGGGTGGGTGGGGGTAGGGGGGGTTGAACTCTTGAATATTTCGCGGGGAGTGGGCGGACTAAAATTTCCGGTAGATGGGTACTGTAAATTTTTTTCGGGAAAGGGGGGGGGGGGGTGGGGGGGCAGTAGACTTTCTTCGGGGGGGGGGGGGGGGGGGTGGGGGCGGTGCCTCCCCGAAGAGATGCCTGAAAGAAACTCTGTCAAGCATTAGTTTTTATTGTGTATATAAAATTATGAATGTGAGATAAATTTACAAAAGTTAAACGTACGAGATTTTCTTCCATAGCCATATTCATCAGGCTCATCAGGATCAAATGCCTGGAGAACTCTAAATCCTTTATGGGCCATTTTGTTTCAATGGATGTTGTATGATCCTTACATGTTCAGAGATTTGGAGAAAATTCCATCAGTTATTTTTAGCAGACAGAAAATGATAGTTTATTTTTAGACCGCACGAAGCATATTTTTTACAGATTTGTTTTATCTGAAGTACAAACGTTTCAAGGTTTAGGTAGATTTAGACATACGGCTGAAAGGAATAAAAGAAAACACTTTACCAGTATCTTCTATATTAGCTTATAATTTCGATCTCTTAATGACAATTATCTGCCCATAGTCGACTATGAAACCTACAACAAATAAACCGGGAGTAATCTCCCCTAAACTTTATCGAATATTCTTATATAACACTTCGGGGGATGGCAACCAGAGTTTCTTCCAGGCATCTCTTCGGGGGGGGGGGGGGGGGGGGCTTGGCCCCCCCCCCCCGAAAATTTTTTACCGCCCCCCCGAACGAAATGAAATTTATATAATTTATATAGAAAATATATACTTTTAACAGTGTCCGCCCCCCCGAAGAAAGTTTACCGCCCCCCCGAAGATTTCAAGTGCCCCCCCCGGAGAAAAAAGTCTGGAAGAAACACTGATGGCAACTCGGGATATAGACACTATTTAAAATCATTTTTAATTACTTAAACGTTTTAAAATAGAATAGAATCTCGTAGAAAAAAGAATTGCACACCAAGTGAACGCCAAACAAAATGTGCATAATATTGTGCGGGATATTTTTAGTACTTTATAAATACGGCTACTGAACATTACCCCCCCCCCCCCCCGGAAATTACCCCCGGACATTTCACCCCCATATTTACCCCCCGGAGCAATTACCCCCCTGTCTATTCCCCCCCCCCTCTCAAGTTAGAATCCTAACTCTAACTAGAATTCTATACCTATATACTACTTTAATCCAAACCTTAAAAAAACAGAACAAAACCTAAGCATTCACCTTAGCCTAAAACTTCACACAAAACCAAAACCAACGCTAGACATTGGATTAAGACTAACCCTAACCCTAGCTCTAACCATATCCCTAGCCCTAACCCTAACCCTAACCTTAAACCTAGCCCTAGCCCTAAACCTAGCCCTAACCCTAACTATAACCCTAACCCCAACCTTAATCCTAACCCTAACCCTAAACCTAGCCCTAAACCTAGCCCTAAACCTAGCCCTAAACCTAGCCCTAAACCTAGCCCTAACCCTAGCCCTAACCCTAACCCTAACCCTAACCCTAACCCTAACCCTAACCCTAACCCTAACCCTAACCCTAACCCTAACCCTAACCCTAACCCTAACCCTAACCCTAACCCTACCCCTAACCCTAACCCTAACCCTAACCCTAACCCTAACTCTAACCCTGTCCGGGGAGTGGGTAATGTCCTACTGATCGGGGGTAATTGACAGGGGGGTAATTGACAGGGGTGTAATTACTCCGGGGTAATGTCGGGGGGGGGGGGAATGTCGGGGGGGGGGGGGGGGGGTAATTGACAGGGGGGAAACATACGTTTTTATTGAGAAATCGAAAATAGCGTAAATTACTACTCCCGGTCAACGGAAATTATTCACAATTTGACAGAGGCAGAGAATTAGCTCTTTTACTTATAAGTGAAATTTCATTGATCGATCTGTAATAATACTTAAAAGACAGGCTTTTGAAAAATTAAAAATAGAAAAAATTCCACTTTCGGTTATTGGAAATCGCTGTAACGTTGATACGAATCTACGAATATGATATAATACTAATAGATGAAATTTCATCAACCTAGCTTTAACGGTACTCAAGTTATCCTGTTTACAGACACACACATACACACACACACATACGCACTCATAGACATTCGGACAAGATTGCAAAATTATGTTTTTCCAACTCAGGGAACTGTAAAACGTCGAGATTTGCACGATTACAATACATTCTCTATACTTTGTAGTATACAAAAAAGTAAAATTGAATAGTGAGTAACTTCTACTTTACAGCCTGCGACTATACTCTATACGAGGCGGATTGTTCTCTCGACTGTAGCAGCCAATGTGTTAATCAGCAATGTGATCACATGTCAGGGTACGATGGGGGAGGAGGACGGAGTCCCCCCCCCCTAAGGTAGAGTCGCCTGAAAAAAAACTCTAAATGGGACTTTTGTCATGTTTGATATTAGGTGCAAGGTTTAGGGGTATGGCTACCACTACATTTAGCATCAATGTGCAGTAACTACGTGTATATCAAGCTAAAAGTCGATTAAAATGCGGAGATCAAGCTAAAAGTCGATTAAAATGCGGATTCTGGATTAAAATCCGTTTTCAGTGTCATTTTCTTGTCTCCGGTTCAATTTGAAGTTAAGTTGATGATTTTGGTTTTGGTTTTAATTTAGAGAAAAGAGATAACACTATCAACCTAGCGCCCGTTGCATCCTTTCTCAACGGGCCATTTATCTCGTACAAAATAATTACAAAGCACCAAAATCTATTTTTCTATTTTGCAATGTACAACGGTCTAAAACTATAAGGATCGATAGAAATCGATTTTTCAATATGATCGATAGTTCGTAAAGCCGATCGAAACCGAAACCAAAATAAGTCAAAATAGTGAATGGCATTCTTAGAAATAACATTAATAGGCATTTGTTTATTTGGAAATAATACAAACTACAAATAATATTGAACACATATAGTGCTGGTAAGTAGGTCAATAAACAGTTCTATGGCTCATGCAGGTTTTATTGAGCCGTAGAATTGGTTGGTGACCTACTTACCAGCCCTATAACTACAACCAAGACAAGCTTACAATATTATAAATTATCGCAAAATTAAGTCACTTTTAATCAGTTTTACCGCAAGTATAGCAATGATATTTCACTCGAAATGTACCAACTTCGCCATTTTGAATTTCTATCTAGCAAGCAACATACTAGCCGTTAGAAGATAAAATTGACATACATTTGAATCTCAAAAGCTTTTTTATAAATTGGTAAGCTCATCATTTAGGCCTATGAATTAAAACATATTACCTTTAATTCCAATCGTTTAGGTCTTGTTTAAACGTGCGACTGGTTGTCCCTATTCTTACCTGCGGCCTCTAAATAAGTAATCTTGTGCAATGGGCCAGGACAAAGCTGAGTACTGTCGAGGTTACCCGGATATAATGCCTGCTTCTTATTGGCCGTTAAGGCTAGGCACTATTGACCAGTAGGCTCGGTTTGCACATGCAGAATGTAACATCAACAATACACGTGTAATCAAAACAAATATAATCATGCATATATTATACAAGAAAAGTATGCTTTTTTTCCTGAAAAAGTTAAGTATCAGGCGATAACAACCAAAACTAAACGAATGTAGAAATACAATGAGCTTGTCGTGTATTTTTACAGCGTGACGGTATTTAATTAGCCTACACATTTTTTTTTGTTTCGAGCTTCAGAATCTGTGTGGACAAACGCTAGGTGTATTTGCTTTACGGCATAGTTTTTTTTAATTATTTAAAATTATTTTTTTTTTTATTTTTTATTTTATTTAATTTTTTTAATTTTTTAATTTTTTATTTTTCTTTTTCTTTTTTTTTTTTTTTTTTTTTGTGAATTACTTTTGTATAACACTAAATTCTTATCCAATTCACTTACGTCTTATCCGTTTCGCTAACTCCTAATCAACTCAATATTATTCCCTTGTTTTTCACGGACTCGATTCTAGCTGCTGTCAACAATGTTAGTGTGTGTGTGTATGTGTTGTGTATGTCAGCCAACTAACAATATCAGGGAGAACAATCACGTTTTACTTCACAATTTCTTTCTAATAAAAGTTGTGTGCCTTTGCCTGGATACGACAGTCAGACTGTCCATGATTTTAAAATGTAGGGGAAGGTACCGTGTTAAAAAAAATCCATTTATTTTGTATTAGGTTTTCTCTCTTGAATTAGTAGACCAACCGTTCTTAATCTACACGTCAAGACAGATTCGACGAGCGAAAATTCCTTATACAATTAATATAATATTTTGTAAACAGTGGCGTCAATAGGTCTGGTGACCTATAAACAACATCGTGCCACCCCCCTACCGAATGGTATCACCCTCTACCTGGTCATGTTTTATGTGGATGGAGCTTATATTCGTGGTGCCAGAATTCAGTGGTGCTGCAGGGGCTGGTCATTGTAAATCTCCAAGGTACACCAGGCAGTCGACCAATCAATGCAGAAGTTGATTAATATGTATAAAGACCTGATCTAATTTGTAGAAACTTTGTATTATACTTTGTGGCTTTTTTTGCTTAACAGAGCACTTTTGACATCAAAAATCTTCCCATATCAGTTTGTTTCCATTAACACAATGTAGCTGTGGTATTACACATTTTTCAGTAGAGTATACGTTTCTATAAATATGTTATTTAAATTACAGATAACCTATATAAGCCTATTATATACGGATTAATCGTGATTTTTTCAAAGTATGTAATGTCTTTTCTTCTTAAAAAGTTGTATAAATTCTAAAATCAATGTAATATTTTAAACTAGTTACGCTACTGATCCAATTGCTTCATGTGTTAATGCCCTTTTCGTTTGTCCCTTGTTTACATTCAGTTACACCAGGGGTCTCTAAACTTTTCAGTCCGAGGACCGCATTAACTATCAAATTTCAGTTCGGGGGCCAGTTTCTTCCAGGCATGTCTTTGATTTTTCTGGGCAAAGTTCCTCAGCCATCACCAACAAACGATTTTCCTTGGACAAAAAGATCTCCACGGGCCGGATAAGAGGACTTTGCGGGCCAACTCCGGCCCGCGGGCCGTAGTTTGGAGACCCCTGAAGTTACACTATAAAGTCAAAAGGTTGAATTACACCCCAACCAATTTTTTAGCGTGTTTCTTTCACAGAAATAGGTGACAGTGTTATAAGTACAATATTAGTTGGCATTAAATTACTTGCATCAGTTGCATTGCATTGTTTGTAAACCTAATTAAGCTAAATATATATAGTACAATACAAATAAGCTTACAGACACTAAACAATTGACCAAAGAATAAGTTCTAAACACTTTATTCAAAACAAAATTTCTTAATAGGCCTAACTACTAAATTATTCAATTCAAACCTGTAAATTAAAAAAAAAATTGAATGATTTCTAATCACATGCTCTATTTTGGGTTAAGAAATCATCCAAAAGCATGTTAGCTTTGATTGGGATTGAAATTATTTTTACAGGAAAGGGGACATAGACTTTCTGTTGCTATTAAAACGTATTTAGATTCTTGTTCCGGATGGGTAATTTATAATAAAACATAGTGTTATGTTACATCGTAAAAAACTTTTATAAAGGCTTTGTATTTAGCTTGCTTAGTGGGTATGTGTGTGTTTGTGTATGTATGTATGGGTAGCAAAATGGTAATTATCTAATGACAATGTAATCATTTCGAAATTTAATGTAATAAATAGATAATCAGGAAAAAATTATATACTAAATAAAAAGTGGGAGATAACAAAATAAAAAAAAAAACAATCTGCGGGCCGTCGAGGGTGAAGTCTCTTCAGTTCACGTTGGACTGATTTCTTCGATCACTAATTAAAGGAAGGTAAGTCAATTTTAGACATCACAAGCTAGTGGACGGATTTTTAGTGCAAACATTTTTATTCTTTGATTATGTAGTATCTACTTGTTTTCGAACGAATGATCAAAAAGTGGAAAAATAAATCTCACATAAACAAATAAAAAATAAACTTATGGAAAATATATTCGCTTTCATAGGGAGTTCATCAATAGATGTACGTTCTATTACCAAATATAAGACCTATGCTCAATTTTCATCATTGAGCGCCCAGGCTTTTATTTTTAGTCATACACGCATATATCTTTAGTAATGTTACTTAAACTAAATTTATTTTAAAATTTTAGTACTTTTTCTTTCATATGTTATTTTTTTTGGTGATTTGTGAAGAACCTTTTTCCATCATTTTTAATTTTTCTTTATAAGAGATTGATTTAATAAGCAATACATTTTCTTATGCTACAGAGTGTTTTCATTCAGGCCTTTTGGCTGCAATGTTTTGAAAGAATTAATGCAGAATTGCTCTCTTGTAAGCAGTTTTCTTTCTTCAACATACTCAATTACAAAAAAGCTAAAATGCCACTTTCTGCATTCTTCCTTTCCGTTGTCACCTCTATAGTGTCTATACAAACTGTTTGTTAAATCAAACGTAGAAATGTGGTATACATGTTCATAAATACTTTTAAATATATTAGTAGTACTCCCGACATACATTATTTTACATCGTTTGCATTTTATGTTGTAAATACACGGTGCTTCGCGTAGTTTTTGTCCTTTACCTTTCCAAAATTTCATAACCACATTTCTTCGATGAGAGTGTGCTGAATCTGTGTCTTGCAATTTGTTTTCGAAAATTTCTTTCAGCTGCAAAAGAAAAACTGAATGTTTAAAAAGTAATACAAAACACTCACACATACACACAGAGATGTATTTTGGGGAGTGGGGAATCTAAAGGGCATTGGATGAAAGGGTCAGTCGTTACACTTGCGTCGTGAAAGAGGCGTAGCGAGGGGGTGGGGGGCGAGGGGGACATATGTCCGCGGGCACCGACCATAGGGGCAAAATGGGTTGGAAAAGAAATTGAAAGTTTGTGGGGGGGGTACAAATGAAAAGTTCGAAGGGGGGGGGGGGATGCAAATCGAAAGTGTTTGAGGGGGGGGGGGGGGCTGGAAGCAAATCAAAAGTTCGAGGGGTGGGGTGCAAATCGAATGTGTGTCCCCGGGCGCCGGGAAGGGTCGCTACGCCTCTGCGTCGTGATCTTTCTCTGGACCAGTCAGGGTATACTCCAAAAGAATGTTACGTAATACTTTTGGTACCAACTTTTTCCGTTTGCAGATGCTTTACAAATAGACCATGTATTAATACTTAATGTGCTTTTTGAAATTCACTGTCGTTAATAAATTACTACACTATTTCCATGCAGATAAAGAGATTTATTTTTTCCAATATTCATCTTTAAATCTAATCATTTTTGAAAATCAATTGACGGGAAATTAAACAGTAGGTTACGAGAAAGAAATAAAGCGAGAGGTAAGGAAAAGAAAGATGTAAGCTCTGTAAATAAAAAAAACCCATTATGCCGATACATTGCATTCATTCATAAGTATGCTTCATAATAAAAAAAAAATATAAAATTAAAAAACAAAATGTGTAATTGTTGCAAATGTAGTGTGAAAATAACGTAGCTTACCACTCTTTGATTTGTTTCTGCATAACTTGGTTTATCGTATTCTTCATCTAAAGGCAAAAAAGAAAACTATTAGAATTTTAATTGTTAGGAGAATCTTAAAGCATTAAACTGATTGATACTTCTCACGTTTTGAGTCATCAACAAAACAAGTCTCCAAGTTATGAATACCGTACTTGTATTTTACAAAAAAAAAAAACAATTACACATAACTATTACAATTGATGCTGTATAAGAAATCTAAAAATTATATATATATATATATATATATATATATATATATATATATATATATATATATATATATATATATATATATATATCGGAACATTAATACTAAATTTAGTTATGAAATTAAAATGTTCAAAAGAGTTATTGTAAGTGTAAAAACTGTGATACTTCTAGTTAAAATCAAATTAAATTACTTAAAGTAGATATTGTTTTGCAAAAAAAAATTAACTTACCGGACATATATTTTACAATTAGCTCAACTTCATCTTGAAATTGGGCTTTGAAAATAAAAATTTTAAAACTTTTAACACATCAATTATTTTAATACAACAACCAATTAGTTTAATAAAAAACATTGCTTTTGAGATTATTTGGGAACTATAGTGTTACCTTTATCAGGTTTATTTTACAGAACTTATAAAACAGTAAATGTAAAATACGGTTATGTGTTTGGTTTTGTAAATATCTACAAACTTAACCACAATTATTTTTTTTATTTTATCAACCAGACAAGCTTTATTATTTGTATTTGCCGAGTAGAATTATGAAAGAAAGACAACTTTATAAAAACTAAACGTACATGGAATCCCATTTTCAAGATATAGCTGAAGACTTTCATCTCCGCTCTTGGCCATTTTGTTTCAATGAATGTTTTTAGACTCCTTAGAGTTTTACAGCTATTGAGAAGATCAAGTTATATATTTTAACAGACCAAGAAACATGATTTAAAATGTTTATATATATATATATATATATATATATATATATATATATATATATATATATATATATATATATAGCATATATATAAAGCCTATATGTGTAGCGCAAATTATTCTGCAATGCAGAAATTTTGAACTTATATGGCTTTAAAGAATGTTTCTTTGGATGATTTGTCCAATCCTCACATTATAGCAAAAATAATCACATTAACCCAGGATGAGTACAAAGAATAACTGACATTTCATTTTGAATTTGAATTTGAAGAGCTTTTTTAAACATTAGTAGGCTTAACAGGTGTTTATTGAATTTAAATCTTACATTACCTGTTATTCCAATGGCTTAATTCGTATGTCGGTAGTTTCGATTCAATTCTGCTGCGTTCATGTTACCGTGCGCAATGTGTACCTGGTCCTGTACCAAAGATCTTTCTAGGTGACCCAGATTGGAAGCGTGTTCATTGGTTGCTGAGATTAACTATATTGATCAGCAAGCTGAGTTAGATGTCCTCATTTATACATGTGTGATTAAAACACATACTTCCCGGCACATACAGAGGGAACATGATTTATATATATATTGATTTTATTAGATTGAATGAAACAAAAATCAATATTTGGGACTGGGTGATAGAAATCAATATCGTAGAAAGGGAACTAAACTAATATAGAATCTAGAAATAAACTGCACTCGTCGAGTTTTTTTTACAAGGATTGAATGCACAGTGTCAAAATCAGATGTTGGTAGTGCGGACGTATGACTAGTGTATGCCGAGAATCAGTGGCGTAGCGAGGTCGGGTGTCACCCGGTGCGGCACTTAATGGTGTCACCCCCCCCCCAGAGGCATAGAGACCCTTCCCAGGGACAAACTTTCAAATTTTCGATTTGCACCCCCCCCCCCTCAAACTTTCGATTTGCACCCCCCCCCCTCGCTACGCCCCTGCCGATAATGTTTGTCCTTGGCTGTTAAGGATTGTCACTATTGATCAGTATTTTTTGGGTGACACTCACTCACATTTCTATATATAGTTATTCCTATGTGAACCCCCCCCCCTCCCCAGTTGGAAAGGCTTATTGTTGGGTACGAATGCCGAGCAAAAATAGAAAACCTTTTTAATAAAGTCTGTGTTTCTTCACGACTTTTTTTCTTCGGGGGGGGGGGGGGGCACTTGATATTCTCGAGGGGGGGGGGGCGGTCATCATTTTCGGGGGGGGGGGGGAATGGGGGGCGGCGGACACTGGTATATAAAAGTATATGTTTTCTATACAAATTCCATTTCGTTCGGGGAGGGGGGCGGTAGACGTCACCGAGGAGATGCCTGGAAGAAACTCTGAATTCTTCACCTTGAATTCAGCGAGAATTGAGTTCTTGTGTTTTCTATCTCCATGTAGCTTAACGAAGTGTTCGCATAGTTTTGCCGGCGCTAGATCCAGATTAGAATTGCTCGACTTGGCATTGCAAATCATCCAGTTATGACGCTGTGTCCCATCACTTCATGTGAATCAATACTGTACTCATTCGTCCGACTATTTTTTTGATCGACACAGAATAAAGGGATAAAAAAAATAAACCACACGGCGTACCATCACGACAGTCACAATTATCTCATCATACCAATACCTGTTGTTGTCACTCTGGCGCGCTTTATTACTTTGTCGTGCTGTTTTGCTGTATTTTAAATTTCATCGCCCGCGGCCGTTTATTCTATCGTCCACACTAAACAAAATCCGATCGCGAATCAAGGGAGACGGGTAGTCTTGACCTCCACTAAACTCATTGGACTGACTCACCGAACCCCAAGGGTTCGATCTAACTCAGGTTAGAAACCATTGTTTTAAAGATTTTAAATTTAGTCTCACAAGTATCAAACTTTAAACTTTTGATTGAGTAAAAGAGTCCAAAATGCTTTACCAGAAACCATGGGTGATTTGAAAATAAAGAAACTAGATTTTGTTTGTACTTTTTGAACCGAAAATTTAATAGTTATTTCAATGTTTCATGGAAAAATTTCACAATGACTTTACATGGAATAGAGGGGATACGGTTGAGTAGTAAAGAAAAAAAACCACTTTGACCGAGCCACGCTTCAGTGCGTTACATTCTTTGTTCTTCTTTTCAGAACACCTGGCAACCAATCTTTTTTTATTACCAGTCATGTGGATATCGTGTATTGCGAAAACATTTGGTTTCCGCATTCTGCAACACCAACACCCCCCTCTTCCCCCACACATACAAATAAATAGCCTACTCTACAAACTGAACAAGGAATTTTTATGAAGCTCTTTGATCCACAAGCCAAAACACGTGACGAACGGACATACAGACATAAAGACTGACAAAATCTATGCATAAAAATGAGTATTTTCAAATCTGGAAGTCGGCAACTCCAATCAAATATGAATTATTCATTTTTGAAACAAACACAGGAGCCTGATCAAACTATTTACTTCGTGGGCAGGGGATGGGGGAGGCACTGCACCCACCCCTTCCACGAAGCAAATCACCCGCTAATCATTCGAAATAGAAAACATATATACATTATATTAAAACAGAAACAGTTTAATAATCAATAAGCGACCACCCCTAAGAAAAATAAATACATTGAAAGACTGTTCGCCGCATAATATTTCACATAAAACTGATTTTCTTTACATATTTATATATCTTGACAAACTACCGCACGGACCTCATAATTATGACCCAACACTGAGTGTAATGATAACTCTGACACTCAGTGTTTCTTCCAGACTTTTTTCTCCGAGGGGGCACTTTAAATTTTTTTGGGGGGGGGGGGGCGGTAGACTTTCTTCTGGGGGGGGGGGGGGGGTGGCACTGTTAAAAGTATATATTTTCTATATAAATCATATAAATTTCATTGCGTTCGGGTGGCGGTAAAAAATTTTCGGGGGGGGGGGGGGGGGGGGCTCCATATATACCTGGCAGAAACTCTGCTGACACTAACAAAGATTCATGCTGCAAAATTCTTTCATGCGTCCGAGCCAGAAGCAGGGATCGTCACAAATAGCGAGAACAGGAAAATGTAGTGGGCGGCCCGTACTTTAGCATAGTTTTAATTACAGCATATCTCGCGACGGGTCTAGGACATAAACCCTTAGCCAGTTACCCCTCTGATATTCCCCCCACCCCATATTACCCTCCCCCGGAGTCATTACGCCCCCTATCAATTACTCCCGTGTCAATAACCACCCTTATGGGTAATTACACCCCACCCCTTGCTAAACAACCCTGAACTTAACCCCAAGCCCCAACCACAAACCTGTGGCTAACCCTAATCCCAAAATAAATTCTTACATCAACTCTAAACCTACATATAACCCTAACCCTGGCTGTATTACTAGCCTTAGCCCAACCCTCACACTAACTTATCCCTAACTGGGCGGAGGTAATTGACAGGAGGTAATAGTTCCAGGGAGTAATTTTAGGAATTGCATCACAAGTAGTATCAACCCCACTTTTAACCCTGGAGAAAAAATTGGAACAACATAGAGCATTCAATTTTAAAGCAAACAATTGCCCATTGTGAGACTTGCAATAAAGTATAGTCTTATTCAGTGTTATTACATTACATGTGACTCTAAAACGTGACTGCATAGTTGGAATATGACATGTTAACAATTTTTGTTACCAAGAAAATGTGAATTGTAAGTTCATACTGATGTTCAATGAAGTAAACAATATTTATCGGACAATGTGTGTATACGGGTTTAGAGAATTTTGATAACTTATATCCAGTCAATTTTGGACTTACGAAGGAGATTAAAAGTCGAGTTGCATATGCCACTAGAAATAATTGTTGTGTTAAATGACACATAATTCTTCAAATTATTTGCATTTTTACATTTTACAACACTATATCTCATTATAAAATCGATTTTTGTAATATTGATTGTTTTCATATAACTACTTTTTGTTTTTCTGAAACCATTTTCATTGCATGACGATTAGCAATGCAATGAGAAACACGATAAACCAGATCAATAAAATGTTACGAGAAAAGAAATGAGCATTATGTAGCGTAACACATTAATGTAAATTCATAGAATTATTTTCTAATATTAACTATGTATTTCACCATCTATGAATTAGAGTTCATATGTTTCTTGATCTTGGCATATATAGGGATAGTACGGTCAGCACTATGTCCAGCGCCTTACTTTCTCCAGCGTATGGTGGGCTAAGGGACGTCCTACAGTCGTTAAGTCCGAAACGAGATAAGCTCCAGACTTTCGGGCTAGCAGGCAAACATTTTATCATTCGACCATGCAGCATTTATAGTAAATTAAATTAATTCTTTTCCGTTTCTTACAAAATGAACTTGCATGGTAAAACTACATAGACTATGTATCTACATTTAGCTTTCTAACCACTCTCTACACAAAAAAAACTCTCAAAATCCCTCTCCTATGCCTCTTTACATTTCACCGCCCCCACTTAAGGTTTAAAATGCAGCAACCCACAGCCGAAATTATGAAATAAATAATCACAGCTATCGTAGTGCGAAATATGTTATGGATAAGAGGTCAAAGAATGTTTAGATTACCTTTTTATTATATGAATTGTTATGTGTTATACAGGCCAAAAGCAGATGACAGAAATTGTTAGCATTGAATAACGTTATAGCTAAATAAATATTATTGTGGCAGAAGAGATCTTTTAAACAAAGCTTGAAAATACATTTGCAAAGTTAAAAAAAAAAAAAAAAAAAAAAAAAACACCTGTTCGGTTTGTCTACTCGGTTAACTGACATTTTGCGCAATACACATTGTTTAATAGGCATTACACTTCCTTAAAACTGTCACATTAAAAGTAAAGTGTATCATTAACTTCCTTGCCGTCTTTAAAACCTCACTCTGAAACTATTGAGTTATCGCTTCTTGAGTGTCATGTCCACACACTAGCAGTAACTAAAGGGAGATTAGCACCGATACAACAGAGAATGGATGCTAAGTGTTTCCTTCTCTTTGTTTCTTTATGCAGATTATATTATACCACAGAAGGTAAGTTTATCATAGGAGTGTATTCAATATCTGTATACTATTCTTTAAGTTAGAAAAAATCGCGTGTTAAAGTTCTATCGGTGAACAGCAATGAGTTATAACTCTACAAAAAAAAAAAAGAAAAGAAAAATAGGATTGAATTTTTTTTTAAAGATATAATTTAGAAGATAATAACTGCTTAAATTTTAGCGTGTGACGCCGGCTGGTTTGGCCCTAATTGTGAATACAAATGTCACTGTGATAAAATCTCCTCTTGTGACGTGGATGGATCTTGTAAAGATAAATGTGAGACGGGATGGTTCGGTCCTGCCTGCCAGTATTGTAAGTAGATAATAAATCAGTAACAAATAGACTTAGAGAGTGGTATAACGTGAACGCTTATAACATTTT